AGCCACTATCCAGGGAGCTCGCCGAGACGGACCAATACGCCGTTCTTCCGCACTATCTTGTCAGGAATACGGCTCATCTCACCATCCTTCTCGAGGCCAACGGAATCGAGCGACACAGAGAGCTCTTTAACCAATATCAATGCTTATGTGTCATGGCCGTGGCGGATGGCGAATCCCCTGCAATTGCAGCAGTTTGTTCCACAGATAACCTTGGTTCTTCAAGATTGGAACTCATCCGCCGAATCGAGCTCGAAGGCGACCGCCTAGCCTGGTAGCCCATGCCGCGACATTCCGCGTGATCTGGGGAAAGGTCGATGAATCAACAGATGGAGGCATCACCGATGACCGTGGAGTAAGAAAGAACCTCCGAGTTGCCCTTGAAGAAGGCGCTGATCCAGCAGATAACATGGAGGTGATCGTCTGCCCTGACAGTCTAGCTGTAGCACAAGCATCCACCACTTATATTGAAGCTGAACCAGTGGATGCAGAGGCATTGTTCCACGAGTGTCCGACATTCCGGACCGGGAGTTTGAACGACTGCAAGCGCATGCACATGCCTGAACTTCGAGTTTGCGCTTTTCATATCAATGCCCATGCCTTTCAGTCAGGTATTACGGCCGGTAAGAACGCCATTATGAAGATTTTGATTACGGCCGTGGCAGACCAGGTGGACGTCATCGCGTGCGATGCTAATCAGTTCACAAACCGCAACTTCCGGGGCGATCGACACGCCGATCCGGCGACCGGAGCTGTCCTCACCATCCTTGACCAGATCCTTGTTTCTGCGAACAAGAAGCGTGAGCCGAGCAAGCGCATAACCGAGACTGGGAGGTCTCAACCCTCGCCAGTGAGCAGCTCACCGCTTTGGAAGGTCTGGATGCCGATTGCGACTGCATGTTGCAGATCGCCTTAAATTACGGCAAGGACATGCATACGTTGCGGGCGAGAACATCCGATACTCCGGATGATCGTGGACGTGTTGGATACGAACAGCCTCCTCGTCAGAAAGAGACTACCATAAAGATTAACGAACTCCTTAAGCATTTGAATCATCTTGATCTGTGTTTGAAGAGCAGTGACTTGGGTTATCATCTTGATCTGTGTTTGAAGAGCAGTGACTTGGGTTATCACCATCCATTCCAATGTAATTTTTCACTTGCCAGTCGACACAAGATCAGAGTTCGCAGCCAGGTATCCGCCGTGAACCGTGGCGAGAAGAACGCCGAAAGACTTGAAATGTTGAAGGAACGGTCTCGGCAGAATAAACAAGCTCGCCAAGCAGGATGGGACTATTCCTGGCAGCCATCGGACCGCTGGTCCTCGGGCGCATCAAGTTCATGGTGGTATGCCGGTTCCTCCTCATCATCTTGGAACCCTGGTTACCGAGGATACAGGAACTGGTAGGTAGTCTCTGAAAAGCCGATATTCCGGCTGGACCACAGCTAAGCGCCGGAAAGCTAAATGCATATTTTGAAGGACCCAGATACATCAAAACTAAAGGCCCTATAGATTTGATTTCGACTTAACGATTTGACTTGAAAAAGAAGATCTCCGATATTACGGAACGTTCGATGCAGCAAGTATGCCTTTCGTAGATTTGTAAAGATTATCTGACGCAACCTAGATGAGCCAGACATCTACGGTCTAGTTCTGCGAAGACAGAACTTCTGTAATTCATTTGCATCTTTTTGCTATCCAAGCTTTTGTACTTTAGAGATCGTAAGCTTCGACACGAAGAAAATTTGTGTTTGGTAGGGTCCTAGGTCCCCCTAGGCGTGTCTACGCTATACGTGTGTAGCACCTGTTCTCTTGTATAGATTAGTCTGTAGCTCTTCAGTCCGCTTTCGACCTAATTCATTTGGCTCAAGACTTAGTAGCCCAATACCTGCATCCGCAGCCATAGAAAAGGTGTGCATCGCTGCCGCTCGCACACCGATCGCATTCGCGTGACTCACTTGGTGTTTCGATCAGGTCCAGTTAAGCAACTGCCACTTCTGGGGGAACTTACCCCTCACCCCCCCCCCTCGAATTGATTTTTCAATACAGACCCCCCACCCCCGCCCCCTTGGAATTGATTTTTCAATACAGACCCCCCCCCTTCCCCCCTCTAAAATCAATTCTCTCCTGGAGAACGTCTTCGTGAGCCTCTCATGATTTCAGGATAGTTGAAACCCTCTTGAACATTCAGAAAGAGTTCATATGAAATTCTAATCACGAAAGGTGTTCCCCGAGGGGATACACACCTAGAGTTTGTTCTGTGAAGCACGTCAGTTCTCTCCTGGGGAGCGTCTTCGTGAGCCTCTTATGGTTTCAGGATAGTTCAAATCCTATGATGTTCCGATTCAATGCTCACCGATGATCTGAGCCATGGGGCAAGTTTGTTTTCCTAAGAATCTTTTTGAACATTTCGAGAGCATATGTTTGAACATTTAGAGTGCATATGAACATATATTTACGAAAGGTCGCCTCCGAGGGGATAAATCACCATGTCGAACATTGCATTTTTGTTCCTGCCTCTCGCGTTCTTTTCTCTTCCCGCTGTCCTACCTTTCGTGTCTCCCTCCTCTCAAGTGAAAACACAAATGAAAAGGACATCGGGCAATGAAAGCACATAGCAAAAACATGATAAGACAAATGAAAATCAGGCAATGAAAACCAAACGCTAAAATAATGATAGCCAATAATGTGAGTAAAATGAAAAAATAGTTATTTTTTATGTTCCAGTCCCTGGCTGGCCAAGATGGCCATAAAGGTAGTACTGAATGGCATCGTGTTGGGCTTGGCTTTCATGAAGATCCCAGCCAGGAAGAGTCACTGGTTCACATCCTTGCCAGCCTCTGTTCACAACCATGGCCAAAGTCCATGTGCAGATCTCCAAGACCTTATAGGGTCGCCGTGGCACCGTGCGGGCTGGTGGAGGCATAGGTCGTGGAACCGGCTTAACATGGCTTAACCTTCTCCTTCTCAGCCACAAAGCTTTCAGAGATCTCCTTCACATGATGACGAAGGTGCGACGCTTGCCCTTGGTCATGGTAGCCATCTTGCCGACACGGCTCCAAGAGATCTCTTGATGTGGCCCATCTTCAACTTCAGAACCTGAGGTGGAGAACTCCTCATTGGAAACACGGCCGCATTCATGAGAGGTGGTCGACACATCAGACTCAGACCCCTCAGACAAAGAAGACTCCGGTACGGAGAATGACATCTTTACCAAGGGAACTTCCGTCGCTTCCATGTCTTCCACCAAGTCCAGCACCTCCGGCAGCTCACTCTCTGAGCTTCGCTCCGAAAAGTCATGGCTTGAGACTTCACTCTCACTGTCAGTTTGATCTTGCGGCAGTTCATTCTCACCGGTGAGAAATGCGAAGGAGTGCGGCTGTGACAACAGTTGCTGACGAAGTTCCTTCAACTTAGGATCTGATTGGAACTGCTCCAAAGGACCGTGTTGCAAGAGGTTCAAAACAGGATGGCGAGTTTGAGCTAGTTTGAGTGAGGATCATAGGTTGAGTGCGTCCAAAGGCTTCCATGGTCTTGTTGCCAAAGTGAAAGACAATCTCCCACCTTGCCATGTCAGCAGGGCCAACTAAGCCTGGACAGTCGGATGCATACTCAACCTCTGACATGCGAAGCCACGTGTTGACACCATGGAGACCGACTGGGTACAAATGAGCACACTTGGAGGTGATATATAGGTGCTCCAGCTCCAAACTTGAACACCTCACTCTCAGGCACCGTCTCCCACTGCAAACCACTTGTGTGTCCATGAAACCAGCCTTGTACAGTCGATTGCTCGGCAAACCGGCCCATATAATTTTGCACTCCTCACAAGCGCTGCGTTCACCAGGAGCACATCAATTGTGGAACGTCACCCTAGAATGGGCATGCGCGTGCTCACCAGCAAAAACATGTTAGAGTTTGCCACAGCAAAGCATCGGTGTAAAGTGTAAAGAGAGGGCTCCAGAAGACAATCTTAGTGTGAAGGATGGGACGGTTCATTTAACCCTGGACAGTTGCATAGCATCCAAAAACGAGAGATTTCAATTGAGGGAGTTGCCGGTCTATAGGGCCGGTCACTGTTCTCGGAGCTTTTGTCGTGGAAACATTGCACGAAACAATCATGTTGAATCATGTTGGAAGGAAGCGCCCTGCACATGTTTCAAAGTTCAGCTACAGATGTTTCTGATGTGGCGTTTGGTTTGCTGGCCTCGAGTTTTTGAACCATGAACTGAATCCGACACCAGCCTGACGAACTCCCAACATCGTTTTAAGGATTTTGGCTTGAAAAGAGGAAGGAGTGGACAGTCTGCACTTCTTTATGCCTTTTCCGTCCTCCCCAAGCAACACCTGTGCGCTCACGGCAGACATGTCCTAAGGTGGTTTAACACCGACCAATGCGAAGGTCTGAAAACTTTAGTCGAACAAGACAAGCGCCGCTAAAGAAGTTCCGCGCACAAATCACGATGACGACTTGCGTCCCCGATGTGGAACCTGACATTGAAATCAAAGCTTGGGCAAAACTTGCGGAGAACCAGGGAGGTTGCTTTGAGGCCCATCAGCTTACATGGCAAAATGCAACGAACATCCATGAACACAGAAGTTTTTGCGCAATGTCCACCCATGCGATCTCAGCGGGGTTCCACTTCCCACCAGTTCGGCTCTATGGAAAGTGAATGTCATTTAACCTGATCCGTGATCCGTGACTGATTTTGGGCATAGCATGACATTACATGCTTATCAAAGCAGCGCTGCAATTATAGGTTTGTATAGGAGATGAATGCAGTTTCATACAGTATCTCTATGCAAAGGCAAAGGTCTTTAACTTTTGGTAACCCTTTTCAGCTAACCTGCGTATATTAATAACTTGCCGGACATAGCAGATTTGCGATGGCATCGCTTGCGGAACTTTCAGGTTTCCTTGTATATATATATATATATACTGTATATATACATAATCCGTGGTGGAAATGCATAGCGAGGACGGATCGCCTTGCTGCCTTGAGGTGGACAGCCTGACCACCCGTCATCACAGCTGATGGCACCAGCTAGCAAGAGAGCGTCCTGGACATTGCCCCATGCCGCTGAAAAGAAAACACAGCTACAAGTCAAAGACACAGACAGGAGTTGCAGAGCATTTGGTACTTTGGGCTGTTGAGGCAACACAGGCCGCGCGTCAAAGCCTGCTCAATGCAAAGTCAACAGGTTCCATTCCTGAGTTCAATGCAGCGTCAGCTCGCTTTGCTGCTGTCCTTGAAGAACTTCCAGAGCTTTGGCCAGAGCTGAGTGATGAGTTGATGCAAGCGGTTTGGCTTGGGTTTGATGAAGCAATGCGAACTCGCTTGGCGGAGGGCGCTGCAGGGTCTCTTTTTGGTGGCGAACGCCCTTGCAATTTACCTCAGCTTCTTTGCTTGATTAGCCGGGCCCTAACAGATGAGGGGCGATACTGGACTGCGAGAAGTCTCTTGCACAGAGCGCGGCGGGTGGCTCAGAGGCATGGGATCTCTGAGAGTTTAGTTTGTGCCAGCCTTGCTGATATGCACTGCCGCGCTGTGCCCCCTTGGCATTTCCATATGCTTAACGACCAACCTCGAAATCAGGCCTTTGCTGCGTCTATTGGGGATGCTTTGAGAGAACTGGCCGCGAGAACAGCGCGAGTTGAACCAGTGACATGCTTGGACATCGGGACAGGGACAGGGCTGTTGGCCCTGATTTGCCAGCAGCTCGGCTCTGAATTGGGCATGCCGAAGCTGCAGATTCATGCATGTGAAGAGAACGAGTTGCTGTTTGCAATGGCTTCAGAGCTGATAAACAGTGCTCAAAGCACAGGCCAGGTCCTCAGTCACCACGGGACTTTGGTCTATTGGACGGCTCAGTAGAGCAACCTTTCCACGCCAAAAACTCCAAATGGTTCAGATGTACCAAGTGACAAAAAATGTTCAGCTTTTGACTCTTGACCCCCCATGCACGACATGAAAACAAACCACACCTTTTCCTAGGTGCTGACTAGTGACTAGCGTCTTGCAGAATCCAAGAAACATGTGCTTTACGCGTGACTGCGCGCACGTATGTATGTTTGTGTCTGTCTGTCTGTCTCTGTCTTTGTCTCTGTCTCTGTCTCTGTCTCTCTCTCTCTCTCTGTCTGTCTCTGTTTGTCTCTGTTTGTCTCTGTCTGTCTCTGTCTATCTCTGTCTTTGTCTCTGTCTCTGTCTCTCTCTCTCTCTCTGTCTGTCTCTGTTTGTCTCTGTCTGTCTCTGTCTGTCTCTGTTTGTCTCTGTCTGTCTCTGTCTGTCTCTGTCTGTCTCTCTCTGTCTCTGTTTGTCTCTGTGTCTGTGTCTGTGTCTGTGTCCGTGTCTGTGTCCGTGTCCGTGTCTGTCTGTCTGTCTGTCTGTCTGTACTCCATACTGGTACTTTGTGGAAAGATGCGTGCCTCCAACTGTTTTTGAGAACTACTGTAACATGACATGCCAAGAATGTTGCAAGATGCGCCAAGGTCTAGAAGAAAAGGAACATGTGTTTTTCGCGCAAGTTGAACTGAAGGCAGGGAACTTGTAAAGCAAGGCAGCTTGAAAGCGTGTAAGATGGGTGACTGATGGAGATGGATTCTGAGAGATGGTGATTGCAGGAAGTGAAGCCCACTGTGATCCTTCATCGTGCCAATAGCCGCAATTTGGAAGTCCCGCCAGTTGACCTCATCTTTTGCGAGGCGAAAGCATGATTTTAAACATCAAGAGTCGAGAGGTCTGGGAGTACTGAGTACTGCTTGTCACGAAAGCTAGCACCAGCTAGCTGGAGTTGTCCTTGCTTTAGCAAGTGAGGGGCTGGAATCCTTGAGATCGCCGCATCACGTGAAAACTTCATGTGTAGAGGGCCCCCCCCCCGCCGGGTTCAACTCCCCCCTGGGAGCTAGCTTTCGTCACCTACCCTCGGCCTCAAGTGTTCTTTTCTCAGGAGGTCGGTTCCAAGCCTCTGAATAGGATCCCTCAAACAATCTTGAGCAGTGTCGTGCGCAGGCTGTGGATGCAGAGCTTGTGGGCGAAGGTTTCTTGCAGAACTTTGGCAGCTATAGCTGCATGGATCGGTTCTATGGTTCAGAATTTGTGTTCATCATATTCAGCCGCAGCTAGCTACAGGAGTGCATTTTCCGTAAGGCAAAAACAGGTGTTCGTTGTATACATATATATATGATTATATGTGTTATAGTATTGTTTTGCTATTTCCTATGCGCTTTAGAGGCATGTGTTTGTCTATCCATGCTCAAGTTTTCTGGAGTTCCTGTTTGGTCATTGTTTGATTTGCTCTTGCACCTTTGATGAAGATGCACATGGAGATGTCATTAGAATATCAACTTCACAAGTCTACTAGTCGCATTGCTCATGGCCTTCGCATTATTGTTCCTTCGGGAGGCCCTGCTGTAAATAATCTGATGTAGCATCATGAATTGCTGTCACGAAAGCTACTAGCTGGAGTTGCTCTTGCTTTAGCAAGTTAAGTGACGGGGTGGACGCACCTCAGAAACCTCAAATAATTGATTAAATCAATCTTATGGACCCCCCCCCTGCGGGTTCGACTCCCCCCTGCGCGCGGTGAGCGGGACCACCAAGCAGCTGCAGCACGCCAAGCATCTGCAGTCTACCACCAAGCAGCTGCAGCTAACCACAAAGGAGCACCAGCAGCAGACCACCCAGCGCCAGCAGCAGCAGCAGACGACCCGGCGCCAGCAGAGCACCCAGCGCAGCAGCGCCCAGCGCAGCAGCGGCAGCAGCAGCAGCGGCAGCAGCAGCAGCAGCAGCACCAGCAGCAGCAGACCACCCAGCGGCAGCAGCAGCAGCAGCAGCAGCAGCAGCAGCATACCAACCAGCGCCGCAGCAGCAGCAGCAGAGCACCCACCGCTGCAGCAGCAGCAGCAGACCACCCAGCGCCAGCAGCAGCAGCAGACGACCCGGCGCCAGCAGAGCACCCAGCGCAGCAGCGCCCATCCCTGACGACCAGACTCTCGTTCACCCCCTAGCTAGCTTTCGTTCACCCCCTCTGGCCTCAAGTCATTATATGATAAAGCGGAACGCGTTTTTGGTTGTCATTTCTTGTCGGCTCACTGAAATCCTGTGCCCCTCCAGGTCCTGCTGACACCAAGTGCCGCTCATTTCCAATCGGACGCCCGCGAAAGAACATATTGTTGATAGATGGGGCGCCCGTAATGTGCCCGTGAGACGCATTTTTCATGAATGTGGTCAACAGCTGGAGAGGAGTGTGGCCGAACAAATAGCGATGTCGATGCAGACAAAAATCATTGATGAAGCATTTTACTTCTACCTTGGGGGGGAAGGTCGGGCGTACCAAGAAATCGTTTTTGACTAACATTGGTCCAAACGAATCGTTTTGAAACTGTTTGCGGTCTAGAGTCTACGCTGGTATAATCCCCAATCCGATGAATTCCCTGCATACCTTTCTTTAGCAACTGAACAGGAATCTTTATTCACGACGCACCTCTGGCGCTGGACAGACAGTTCTACTACACCCCATAGCCAATCTCTGCCAACCTCTTCTGTCTGAGAGAGCACGGCTCTTTCCGGGAGGGGACGTCTGCAGAAAGCGGCAGGAGCTTCTTCTGCAAAGCCCACCTGCCATTGGAAGCGCAAAGCGGGTCAGAGAGTGATGTGGCCAAACCGCTTCGAGAACCATACCTGTCATATCTGCCAGTGTGCCAGGCCTTGGGAAGCAGTCCTAGTAGGGCGAGATGTTTTGAGTTCTTTTTTGTGGGAGGTTTTTGAGGTCTTTCTCTGTGGTGCTGCTCGGTCACTGCTGGTTTACCAGGGTTGTGTGGCGTGATGGAGGGCTGCCATCGTTTTGCGCTCGTATGTCTGAACTTCCGCTTTCCCGCCTGTTTCCTCCCACCCCACAAGACTTGTCCAGCCCAAGCACAAAAAGTCAATTCAAGAGGGCAAAAGCGCAATATCGAAATCAATCGAGAAAAGCTAACAGCATACTGATGAACCAGATTGATAACCCCGTCCGTTGGGTCAACATGTCCAAACTGTCCAGGGTATCACTGCTGTGAGCGTAGTGGCGTAGTGTCCTCCTTCGATACTTTTTTTTTGTGAATCCTATTGAAATCCCTTGAGCTCCTGAAGACGTTATGTTGTTGCATATGTAATTTAATCAAATTCCTTTGGACTTCAACTTTGTGCCCTTATTTTTCTTCAGGTTGCTATTACTTTGATTATCTTTGAACCGAAAGGCTTTCGACACTCAATTTTCAATTTATCAATTGTTCTTTAGGTCTTTATTTGTTTTTTTGACTTCAACTTCAACTTGCTTTATCTGTGATGGGGTCGGTTTACCTCATTCAAACATGGATCCCTCAAAACACTTAAAGTCACCTGAGGCATTGTTGGAGCAGCCTTTGTTGAGAGAAATGACACTCTAACTCTATACAATCGCCTTTAGGCCCAATGAAGGAGGCTTTTCAAGTGGAAATATATAAGTCTTCTTGCACGGTTCAAGAAAAGTCAGGACAGCACTTGATGCCTGCGAGCGCTTGTTGAAGCCAGATGGCCGTTTGATTCCATCCAGTGCCACCCTTTTTGGGCAGCTAGTTGAATGTCCTTGCCTACAAGCCCGTTTTGGTTGTGACCATTTTCAACTCACTTCTGTCCAGCTTCGTGAGAACTTTGTGTGTGACTTTTTGGAGAACCTCGAGCACAAGATTCTGAGTGGACCAGCAGAATTGATGCACATACCCTTTGACAAGCCGAAAGACCTGAGATGCCAGTTGCTTGCTTGAGTGCAGTTGTTCACGAGACAGGTAAACAGGGAAAGGGAAACACCTTCGAAAGCAGACAGGTGCGGTATATTGTATCCTCCCCAGTTTCTCACTGGTGTTTTGTGGTTGGTGCACTAGCATGGGCCCCAGTTTGTCATAATACTTGTGCTTCTTATCACAGTTTCAGCAGCGAAAGGATGCAGCATCTTGGGCTAATCTATGCATACACTCATGTGGTTGTCGATCTAAAGGTCCTAGACAGCATTGTGTATGACGATGACCCGGAACATATCAAAATCTCTTTTGGCGAAAGTGTTTTCTCGAGTTGGCGAATGTATTTCTTTTCGGCGAAAGATCTGGCGAAAGATTAAATATCTACTCTTGTATGAATGTTCATTTGCTTTTTGAACAGCTGGTGGCAGTGACTCAGAAGTTAGATGAGCTGTGGAAGTTAGATAACCTGCTGCTGCTGCGGCTGCTACCACTACCACTACCACTACTACTACTACTACTCCTCCTCCTCCTCCTGCTCCTGCTCCTGCTTTGGGGGGGTGGCTTTCAAAACTCTACACCGCAAAAGGCGAAAGTTTGGCGCAAGTTCAGCTCAAGATTGGCGAAAGTTCACCCTGCCACATCTGACCCCCAGCCCATTATGAGTAAGTTTGAGTGACCGGCTACTACAGTGATTCTTGCAATTTTGATTCTTGCTGACACCCAGGAGAAACAAAAGAGACGTGCAGGGTGCCAACAGTTTAGTAGAAGACACATGCTGACAAACAGTGAAGTTTCTATTTTGTGTTTGCCAGTAAAGACGAAGCCATTGACGTGAACAAAATACATGGCGCACATAAATACAACGTACTTCGGCGAAAGATAAAGCGCAGGAAGGCGAAGTTTGGCTAAAGTATTTTTTTTGCGAAAATGACGGATCCCGGATAAAGGAATTTAGATCAACTCCCATGTAGTATTGATATAGGGTGAGGGAAAGGAAACTCTCATTGACAAAGTTCTGTGTTGATCACGAAAGCTAGCTGTAGCTAGCTGGAGTCTGTCTTGCTTTAGCAAGGAGGGTGGGAGCCCAGGACTTGAGTGCTTTCACCTGATATATCAGGACTACACCCCCCCCCCCCTTCGCGGGGTTCAACTCCACCCTTCTCCTCCTCGGTACCTGCTGCTGCTGCTTGGTCGCTGCTGCTGCTGCTGGCATCTCATCTGCGCCTGGCTCTTGGCTGCTTGCTGGTTGCTGCTGCTTGCTGCTTGCATGCTTGGTGCTGCTGGATGCTCTTGGCTGCTTGCTGGTTGCTGCTGCTTGCTGCTTGCATGACTGCCTGCTGCTTGTTGTCTGCTCCGTTTTGCTGCTGTTGCTCTTTGGGGTTGTTGGCTGCTGTTGGTGCTGAAGAAAGCCTATTTGTTAGAACCGAGAGTAGTTGCATTCCCTCTGAGTCGTGAAACGATGCTAATTTCATTATATCCTTAAGAAGCTTGTACAGGCATGCACCCACCCCACAACCCAAGAGTACAAATCAGAATGCACTATCCGCTATCCATGCAGATCAAAAGATGATACTTACTTCACACATGAATGACAGAACCCAGTCAGATGTTTGAACGGGCTGTTTGCTTCACTCATGGTAGTCCGCGTTCCATGTTCGAGCGACAGGGAGCATGCACAAGCGTTGCGACGGAGTCTTCGGTCGCTGACACATGTTCGCATACAACCCCTAGATGTCAATCATGCACACCGCTGCTGGCTGCATCGTCAGCATTTATTCGTTAAAACAACAGATATATCAGATATATCTGTCTTTCCACGTCGCCCTTCTACAATTACTCAGGCAGCGCCTATATGTGCTATTTTTCGAGACCAAATGTTGGGGCACGAAAGACTCTAAGGAAAGCTCACTCTTTCCCTGCTGCTGCTGCTGCTTGGTAGCTGGTGATGCTGCTTGGTAGCTGCTGCTGCTCCTGCTGCTGCTGCTGCTGGGTAGCTGTAGCTGCTGCTGCTGCTACTGCTGCTGCTGCTTAGTAGCTGCTTAGCTGCTGCTGCTGCTGCTTTGTAGCTGCTGCTGCTGCCGCTGCTTGGTAGCTGCTGCTGCTGCTTGGTAGCTGCTGCTGCGTGGTAGCTGCTGCTCTGCTGCTGCTTGGTAGCTGCTGCTGCTGCTGCTGCTGCTTGGTAGCTGCTGCCGCTGCTTGGTAGCTGCTGCTGCTGCCGCTGCTTGGTAGCTGCTGCTGCTGCCGCTGCTTGGTAGCTGCTGCTGCTGCTGCTGCTGCTGCTGCTGCGTGGTAGCTGCTCTGCTGCTGCTTGGTAGCTGCTGCTGCTGCTGCTCTGCTGCTCTTGGTAGCTGCTGCTGCTGCTGCTGCTTGGTAGCTGCTGCTGCTGCTGCTGCTTTGCTGCTGCTGCTGCTGCTTGGTAGCTGCTGCTGCTGCTTGGTAGCTGCTGCTGCTGCTGCTGCTTGGTAGCTGCTGTTGATGCTGCTGCTGCTGCTTGGTAGCTGCTGTTGATGCTGCTGCTGCTTTGTAGCTGCTGTTGATGCTGCTGCTGCTGCTGCTGCTTGGTAGCTGCTGTTGATGCTGCTGCTGCTTGGTAGCTGCTGATGCAGCAAATGCAAATGGACTCATCGTCATACAGGCAGACTAGACTGCCGACTTGCCGCCCGAAGTCACCAGCAAAGTTCGGCTGTCATGGCCCCGACATGTTTTGATGGCCTTCACTCTTGGTGGCTGGAGAGCCGTAGTTCATTGTTTTTGAGGATTGCACCCCCAAATGGAGATAAATCCTTTGTTTCATTGGGCGGCTGCAGATCAGCCATGGTGTGAAAGGATAAAGGTTGCTTATGCTGCTTCTTGCGCTGCACACAATTCCAGCCAAAAAATCAATTTTACAACAAAGGGCATTTAATGATATGGGCGGCTGGAGGGCCACAGAAATTTTGTAGGAAACTTATTGGCTGGAGAGCCAGAGAATTTGCCGGCTTGACAGGCTGAGAATTTGCTGGCTGGAGAGCCGGAGGGTGATGGTGGCTGCTGCTGATGCTGCTGCTGCTTGGTAGCTGCTCCTCCTGCTGCTGCTGCTTGGTAGCTGCTGCTGCTGATACTGCTGCTGCTTGGTAGCTGCCGTTGCAGCAGCAGGAGCTTGGTAGCTGCTGCTGCTGCTGCTTGGTAGCTGCTGTTGATCTTGGTCTGCTTGGTAGCTGCTGTTGCAGCAGCAGGAGCTTGGTAGCTGCTGTTGATGCTGGGTAGCTGCTGCTGCTTGGTAGCTGCTGCTGCTGCTGCTGCTGCTGCTGCTGCTGCTGCTTGGTAGCTGCTGTTGCTGGGGCTGCTTGGTAGCTGCTGCTGCTGGGTAGCTGTAGCTGCTGCTGCTGCTTGGTAGCTGCTGTTGCTGCTGCTGCTGCTGCTTGGTAGTAGTTGCATTCCCTCTGAGTCGTGAAACGATGCTAATTTCATTATATCCTTAAGAAGCTTGTACAGGCATGTGCCCACCCCACAACCCAAGAGTACAAATCAGAATGCACTATCCGCTATCCATGCAGATCAATAGATGATACTTACTTCACACATGAACGACAGAACCCAGTCAGATGTTTGAACGGGCTGTTTGCTTCACTGATGGTAGTCCGCGTTCCATGTTCGAGCGACAGGGAGCATGCACAAGCGTTGCGACGGAGTCTTCGGTTGCTGACACATGTTCGCATACAACCCCTAGATGTCAATCATGCACACCGCTGCTGGCTGCATCGTCGGCATTTATTCGTTCAAAAACAGATATATCAGATATATCTGTCTTTCCACGTCGCCCTTCTACAATTACTCAGGCAGCGCCTATATGTGCTATTGTTCGAGACCAAATGTTGGGGCACGAAAGACTAAGGAAAGCTCACTTTTTCCCTGCTGCTGCTGCTGCTGGGTAGCTGCTGCTGCTGCTGCTTGGTAGCTGGTGGTGCTGCTTGGTAGCTGCTGCTGCTTAGTGGCTGCTGCTGCTGCTTAGTAGCTGCTGCTGCTTGGTAGCTGCTGCTGCTGCCGCTGCTTGGTAGCTGCTGCTGCTGCTGCTTGGTAGCTGCTGCTGCTGCTGCGTGGTAGCTGCTCTGCTGCTGCTGCTGCTGCTGCTGCTGCTGCGTGGTAGCTGCTCTGCTGCTGCTTGGTAGCTCCTGCTGCTGCTGCTGCTTGGTAGCTGCTGCTGCTGCTGCTTGGTAGCTGCTGCTGCTGCTGCTGCTGCTTGGTAGCTGCTGCTGCTGCTCCTTGGTAGCTGCTGCTGCTGCTCCTTGGTAGCTGCTGCTGCTGCTGCTGCTTGGTAGCTGCTGCTGCTGCTTGGTTGCTGCTGCTGCTGCTGCTGCTGCTTGGTAGCTGCTGTTGATGCTGCTGCTGCTTGGTAGCTGCTGCTGCTGCTGCTGCTGCTTGGTAGCTGCTGCTGCTGATACTGCTGCTGCTTGGTAGCTGCGGTTGCAGCAGCAGGAGCTTGGTAGCTGCTGTTGATGCTGGGTAGCTGCTGTTGCTGGGGCTGCTTGGTAGCTGCTGCTGCTGGGTAGCTGTAGCTGCTGCTGCTGCTGCTTGGTAGCTGCTGCTGCTGCTGCTGCTTGGTAGCTGCTGCTGCTTGGTAGCTGCTCCTGCTGCTGCTGCTGCTGCTGCTTGGTAGCTGGTGCTGCTGCTTGCTAGCTACTCCTGCCGCTGCTTCTGCTGCTGCTTGGTGGCTTCTGCTTGCTGCTGCTGCGGCGGTTGCTGGGGTGGTTGTGTGTTGCCATGTGTTGGCTGTGTTGGGGTCGTATTGGGGGGGCGCCTGTTGGCACTCTCCTTTTCCCTTGGCCATGGCATGTTGCGATTCCCGGCCAGGCTTTTGCTGCCTAAAGAGCCCCAGCGTTGTTTATTTGCCTAGCTTTCGCCACCCCCCCTCTGGGCCACAAGTGTTTCGTCAGTTCCCCTGCCGGCTCTCCTCGCTGCCCTCATGGGGCTGACCCAAAGGAATCCTTTAAGCGCCCTGCTAAGGGATGCTAAGGGAACCAGGGAGAAGGGAAACACTAAACATCACTAAACAGTACACACCAAATAGCACAAACATGTGTAACCTTTAGACCTATGCGGAAAGCGTGTCAGCAGTACCCGCGCGTTTTGTTTGATCCATACTCATGAGTCATGACATGACCTGTTACCGCAGGGCCTGTTCAGACGTTCGGCTCGCCCAATGTTTCCCTTTAGAAAATCTTTCTGTTGGGTTCGCAGCTGATGTATTCATATACATTCCAAGAACGAATCCTGCAAAGCAGTGCTCAAAAGGAATGAGGTCAAGAGCACAGAGCGTCCAGATCAATTTTTCTCGGATGTGTCGTCCGGGGCGCGTTGGTGGGATCAAGAACATTGAAAGCATTTGCTGTTTGTTTGCTGTTTGAATAGTTTTGTCCTGGCCTAGAAGGTTGGGCTTTGTTCACTTTGTTGAACTTCAAGCCTTGCAAAGTGGAACGGCCCATGCTGTGATGGAGACTTGGTTGATTATAAGTCCAACAAAGTAAGTTCCCCCCCAAAAAATAGTAGGAATCAAATCATTAGAGTGACCTATGCTGCATCCTGTTTCTAGAAGCGTCCTACTTAATAGCTACCAGCTACCTCTCTACCCCTCTTCTAGCGCCTACCCATCGGGGGGGAAAACGTCCCAAGTAGTGGCTAGTAGCAGCGGCTACTCACCCCTACTTTTTGCTCTACCCCCCAGGACCTCGTTTGGTCGTTGAACCATCCAACCTGCGAGTCCGGACTTCACAGCTTCAGTACAAGCTGGACTTCACAGCTTCAGTACAAAGCTTGTCGCTCGTGTTCTGAATGAGGTCTGGTGGGAGCTTCGTTTAGACAAGCATGGACGGCACAAAATCTCCTCGCGGCCTGGCCGTGAAGAGAATCATTGGCCACAGGCACGAAGCTTGGCACAGTTGCAAGATGAAGAATGCTTGGTAACTTCTTGGTGGGTCGTGGTTTGGCTTAGGTGTTTTGGCCTGTTCACGCCGAAGCACATGTCTCTGATGAGGTCCAGCGTTGTTTCAACATGTTTCATACCGGTCCAAGCGAAGGTTGACACCTTTGGAACTTGCCAAGGAAGCGGAGCCGGCGGTTCTTCCAAAGCTCGGGAGAACTTTGCTTGCTTCAGAGTGTGTGGCACTCCAGCTTCGACTTCTTGAGGCGTTGCACTTGCATCGCTGCATGCGTTGCTTGTTCCTTTGCAGTGCTTCAGTGGATGCGGAGAAACTGCGTAGTGCGCACTATAGTTTCTGCAGGACCGTTTGGAGTGCAAGCCACGCACGTTTGGCCCCAGCAAGGTGCCAAAGTCGAAGGCGCGTCCCAGGCTTCACACACCACCGAACAAGATGCCTTGCTTTAAGAGTCGAATGTGCCTCTCAGTTCAAGATCTCCAGTGGAGATTTGCAATGGCTAAATGATGCACAAGTATGGGAATGCACAGCGCTCAGATTTTGAGCCTCAAGTTGTTGGGGCGCACTTTTTGCAATTTTTGGTCATTCTACTGTGTTCATCTATTGATTTTGTGCTCGTATATTTTATCATTCTCGTTCTTCATCCATGTCTAGTGAATATTTTCTCCTCCAAGGTTTGAAGCAGCAGTGCCAAGCTATCAAAGTTTATGGCTATGGTGCCCTGCTTGATGGATCAGCCTTGGTACAACCTGCGGCTTTGCTGACAGCAGCATCATCTCTGGACAGGGATTGGTGTGTCAAAACATGCAGCTTCATGACACATTTGCAAATTAAGTGGCAGGATCAGTCATGCATACAATAGGAAACGTCTCGTGGTTTAAAACGAAACACCGTGTGCGCTTTTTGATTGCAGTGTTTCGGCTTCAGCTACATGAGCCACCGGGAACGAGATTGCACGTGCCCTGCGTGCATTGCTCTTGGACGGGTGGCCAGTGTGGTTGTTGACGAAGAGACCAGTGAAGAGCACAGAGCGTACATAGCAAAGGTTTTGGAACGCTCCTACACCAAGATCCTCGAGAAGGGCCTGGAACTCTTGCGGAAAGAGCGTCAGGCTACTGACGAGGGTTCTTCGGGAGTGGCCTGCCACGCTATTCCTGGATCCGAGCAGCAAGGCGAAGAGGGGAAGGCTCCTGGTGGAGGGGAGCCGTCGGGAGTGGGAGAAGTTTCCACTCCTGGTACAGGGTCAGCTGAGCCACCAGCTGATCTTCGTGAGAAGGTAAAAGAGGAGAAGACAGAGGTTGAAGAGGAAACCCCAAAGAAAAAGAGGAGGGGAAAGAGACGCGTCAAGGAGGAAGAAGAAAAAGCCACTGAGGAGGAAGGACAGCCCACAGGTCAGGAAAAGGAAGCCGAGGAGACTGAGAACAAGGACACGGCCGCAAGTTCAGGGACTCCTGGAGCAGTACAGAGGGAGTCGACAAGCCTATTGAAAAAGATCATCGCCTACCGCTTCCTCGAAAAGGTCCGAAGCCGAGTGCAAACCCAGCCATTACCCTGAAGGAGAAGAAGACCAAGGAAGAAGGCAAAAGTGAGGAGTGCGAGGTGCCGCCCCTGAGATTGAAGCCCAAAGCAAAAGGAAGGCCCAGCAAATCGAGGAGTCGGTCAGAAACCTGGGATAAGAAGGACAAGAGGAAGAGGAGGAGTCCGAGCCCTTCAGGATATTCGCGGGGGGAGACGCAGGTGTCTCCTCGACTACGCCAGCAGAGGCTGTTTGGGAAGAGGAGGAAGGCGGAAGGCCTCCTGGTGATTGGGAGGCCAGACCTGAGATCGTGCGGAGACCCAAATCGCCAGACCATCCTCCACCCTTGCCTCGTCAACCCAACAGAGGACAGTTGTGGATCGGACCAATCCGGGCCTACAAGAACAGACCAGCCCCCAAGAAAAACAAGGGGAAGAAGAAGGAGCTCAAGAACGAGAGGTATTGGGAACGGCGTAGGCAGCAGCTCTGGGAAGATCGACAGCGAGGCGGCAGAGGGTATCGCCGCCGGTGATGCCCCCGAAGAGACGACCAGCTGCCGCTGGAATCAGGGCAGGAGTCTTGAGGAGGCCCGCGGCTGCAGTCGTCAGAGGAGGAGACGGTTGGACAAAGTCGGGAGACGTGAGCAGTGACACTCTCCTGGATTGGAGATGGACGCACCTGAGAGGACGGTATTGGGACGAGGACGTCGAGGTCATTGGCAAAGTGGTGGAGGTCAAGAGGAGACAGGCAGAGAGATCATCTTGAAGGCCAGTGGTACCCCATCAGAAAGCCTCCTGAGGAGTTTGAGTGGGGTGCAAAACAGGCATCTACGCGTTCACCTTTGCGGCGACCCATGCGCAGCTCTCGTGTGGGAAGAAGGATATCTCCATTGCAGCCAGCTTCAAGAGGTCGATCGAGAGGGCATAGGATGGAGTCAAAACCTCGAGGCGGCGGTGGAGAAAGAGGACGACGACGAGCTCAAACAATTACGAACCAGTGCAGAGGAGTTGCGACTACGCGGAAAGGGAGTTGGAGGACAAGTGGAAAAGGAGACGAAGAAAAGAAAAAGAAGAAGAAACGAAAGAAGATGGCTTCCCGCATCCAAGCCAAGAAGAGCTTGGACAGTCTATTCGGTTCCACCGGGCTAGATCCAAAGGCAGAGATCAGGCGGAAGGTGAAGAAGAAGGCCAGAAAGGTAGCCAGGCGAACCAGGAACAAGAAAAGGGGAAGTTCGTCATCGGCAGGAAGCAGCAGCTCCAGCTCGAGTCCCGAGAGTTGCGAGGTGGACGACAAGGATTTGTTCGAACCTGCCACAGCATCGACTCAGCGGGTTTGGAGACAATGCCCGGGAGCGCTCACGATGAGTATGATCGCAGAAGCAAAGGAAGCACTCCTCAATCAGACTGGCACTCCAGGGGAACCTATGGATGGAGTGGCGCCGGCCATTGTCACCCAGTACGTGCGGCAAATCCTGATGCCCAACATGAGTGGTCCAGTGGCTCGGGAGTCGCACCATTGGGGACTCCTGTTGGATCTATTGTTGACTGGTCAAGTGGCGGCTGCAGCGGATCTGGGTGCACAACGCCTCAAGGCATTGGAGGGTCACGCCAAGGGCATGAAGCCCGAGCTCTTGAGACAACTATAGACCTGATGGCCCAGGAGCGGCCATCCTTGAGCAGTACAACAGAGATCATGAAGGCAGGGCGACAAGCAAACGAAGAGCAGAAGGTGCTTCAGAAGGCAAGTCTGCGAGAAGGTCAGGAGAGAGGAAAGGGTCAATGGACAGACTGGCGAGTGAAGGGCGAGAAGGGCGACAAGGGCGGCAAGGCAGACAAGGGCAAAAAAGGAAAGGGCGAAGGTAAGAAGAAAGCAGCTTAGGCGAGAACCGGGCGACAGTGGGCGGCAAGAGGACAAGACTCAGTGGCAAAGCAGAGGTACATTGGAGGGAGGGGCCAAGTGGCGAGGCCTCTCCTGGTATTTGGGGCGAGAACTCTATGAGGAGAGACACTCCTGGAGCCGCCCAAGCTCCTGGTGGCAGGGAGCAAGGGAGTGGGCAAGGGAGTGAGGTTTTTGAAGGGGCTGAGCAGATGAATGAGCTCCAGCCGAAGCAGTTTCAAGAATTTGAGCATGACGTGATTCTTCAGCAGCCCCCCCGGCCGAGGGGCACAGGACTTCTTCGAGGAGACACTGGCACCGAGGTTGGAAGTGATGAGCTGCGCCGTACAGAGCAGGGCCCTATGGCTGAGGTGTTCCGCAGGGCCTTGGGCACTATGTTATGTGAAGACAAGATGCGCTCCAACATGGGCGAGGCTAGAGCGATTCGTGAGGATTTGCTGCCTTTGCCCGTGCCCCAGGACGACCTGCTGCTGGCGACGATGGTAGCTGGCTTGAACCATTTGGGAGGCTGGAAGAACCCGCCTCCTGGAAGTGTCACCTCAGACCTCCAGCTCTTGGCAGTAAAAAATTTGAGCGAGCTTTTGCACAGACATGGCATGTGGACGGTTGAGGAGCATTTGATTTGTTTTGACGATTTCTTTAAGAGAAAATCAGTCGACTATCTGGGAGACGAAGTGAAAGTGGCGATGACGATGAACTGGCAAGCTATTTGTCCCCCACAATTAGGGTGCCTAGAGCTTGAACGTTTTTGTCGGCTGGGTACCCTCGAGTATGTGTCAAAGTTCGAAGAGTTCTTGTTGCCCCCCGAAGATTGGAAGTATGTGAAGCCGCCCCGGGTTATGGTGGAGAAAGATGGGTGGCCGGAACTTTGTCAGGGACTTGTTGCGCGAAACGTCTGCGACATTATGCCTGTTGAAGAACTTTGTCACGTGGAGGGGAGACCGTTGTTGAATGGCATGTTCTCCGTAGGAAAGGGCGAATTCAAGAATGGCTTGGAGACACAGAGGCTCATTATGAATCTTATACCAGTGAATTCCTTGTGCCGATCGCTAGCGGGCGATATAGGGACACTCCGGGAATTGCGGGACTGTCTGGGTTCCTCCTCGAAGCGGGGGAGGTGCTCCTCAGCAGTGAGGATATCCGGTGCTTCTTTTATTTGTTTGGGGTGCCTGAGCACTGGAAGAAGTATTTGGGGTTCAACAAATTGGTACCCCCCGAGATGGTTCCTCTTCAGTTTGCTGGAAAGGATTGTGTCTTGGTGGCAAAGGTTCTGCCTATGGGCTTTCTAAACAGTGTTTCAATTGCACAACACGTCCACAGGAACGTGGTGAAATGGGCAGCTATGGCAGGCATAGGTGGAGAAAACGAAATGCGAAAGGACAAACCCCTTGGTTCTGGAAGCTCCTTGTATAGAATCTACCTTGATAACTTTGACTTCCTTGAAAAGATGGAGAAGGGCCTGGCCGACCGAATCAAGGGAGAAGTTGCAGACCCCGTTTTGCAAGTGCGTGCTCAGTACGAACAGTTGGGACTGCCGAGACACCCCAAGAAGTCGGTGCAGAGGGCGCTTCAGGGTGAAGTCCAGGGGGCTTGGCTGGATGGTGAGGCTGGTTTTGCTGTTCCCGAACCCGAGAAGGTCCAGGTGTATTGCAAGTTGGCTGATGAGCTGATTAGGAGGGGTCAGTCGACCCTGCGTGAACTGCAGGTGGTGTGTGGAGGTTCCATTTACATCTGTATGTTCCATCAGGCGCTGCTGGGTTGCTTGAATGAGGTGTTTGTACACATGCACCGGTTTGAAGGTGAGGCACCGGTAGTCCGGCTGGCACTGCCTTGGAAGGTTAAGGTTGAGCTTTCGAGGTTCATTGCTTTGAGCCCCCTGGGTCAGATGGACTTTCGTGTGTTGGTGGACGGCGTGGTGACCTGCTCTGATGCTTCGACGCAAGGGGGAGGAGCTTGCTCGTCCATTGGGCTGAGCGACTATGGGCGTGCAGCCTTGTGAACACAGAGGTGAGGGGTGATGTGCCGGAGGCTCATGACTTGGTCCAGGTCCTGACACAGTAGGTCTTTTTGATGGGATAGGTGCTCTTCGGGTGGCCTGTGACGTGCTTGGACTGCCGATGGCAGGACATGTTAGCATCGAAAAAGATCCGAAAGGCCGCCGTGTGGTCGAGAGTTATTTCCCAGAGACGGAGTTCTTTGACGACGTCGTCACCTTTGGCCAGAAGGAAGTTGGCGAGTTGGCGTTGAAGTACAGCAACGTGGGTGTAGTTCTTGTAGGGGCTGGACCCCCGTGCCAAGGAGTCAGCGGTCTGAACGCTGATCGAAAGGGTGCCGTTCGGGATGAGCGCAGCTCTCTTTATGTGCACGTT